TCATGAAATGAGTTCTGTACTCAAACCCAGGAACACAAAGTCCTTGCTTTCTCTAGGTTGGTCCTAAACAAGAAATCTACTTCCTTGTGGAGTGAAGCAGTAGGATAGATTGCTGTTCTTGTTGAAGATGGTCCTTGACAGGACTTGTCCCACACTTCTGCTGCAAAGATTTACAGAGCCCTTTTGAATTTCCCCGGCTTTCAGTCAAGATCCACTGAGAATGCCTTAGTGATGCCCTGAACCATTTCTGTCATACTGCAGTTTTGAAAAAGGGGATTTCAGTGCCCCAGACTGGGGCCTCTCTGAAGACTCCCTGTTCATTTCTTAATAGGTCTCTTATGAATTTCACACATTTGAGCTTGCAATTTTAATATAGCTGTATTAAATCTGCAGCCAACTAGAAACACCATTTTTAGAGCTGATGTTGTTTTAATAGCTTCAGTACTGCATTTCTTGTTTCTGATGGTTGTCTTCTCTTCAGCTTTTTCCTCTTTGCAGACTTAGTGAATTGATTCTGTTTCACTGCCTCATGACTTGGCCAAACATAGAAGAAAGGTGGAAGCCTGGTTACCTGAAGGCAATATGCCTCTCCTGGAAAAATAATTGTTTCCTGTGAGGATATGTCTGTCTGTGTATATGTATACATATACAAGTATATTTGAGATTTTGTATAACATATATATAACCACATATATTGGTTTTGAGTGCATTCAAATGAGTAAAGGTCATAATAGCCATGAGCAACAGAGGAATTGGTTTTTAACCAGAGGGAAAAAAAAAGACCTCTTCCCATCAACAGTTTTTAAAAGCCCTTAAAGACCACGTGGTATCTGATAGCAACAGGGGAGATAGCACTCATGCAGATGTCAGATGTCACTCTCCCATGCTTTTGCTTAAAATATGTTACTTAAAATGATGTAGTGAACAGCTGTCTGGAATGACACCTGGAAAGAGAGCCCAGGGCATATTGATAGCAATAGGATGTTCTTCAATGGCTGTCTAGTCAGGTTCCTCAAAAATGGGAGAGAGACACCAAGTGAGACTTGACCACGGTCAGCAATTAATGATTTAGAGCACTCTTAAACCTTGGAGGTTAAATAAATATGAATGATTTTCATGCTGACTAACTACTAATACTGTAGGAAACAAAGTAAATCAATTTCCAAGTAGGTAACAAGATTTAATTTAGCAGTGTATTGTACTCCTATGAGTCATATTTTCAGTAAAATTGTTTATTGTGGTAACCCTTTGCTGTACATGGTGTTCTTGTAAATTCTTGCAATGGGGATAAATTAATTTGTATTGCTAACCAGCACTAAAGCAGTGCACTCCTTCTACTGATAAGTTCTTGAAATCCAGGAAAAATAAAGATTTTAGTGGCTATTTGTATAGTCTGATTATGTGTGAAAATTATAGGTTTTTAAAATCTAGAAACACAGCCATTCCAAGGATGCAAAGTTTAAGCATTCAAAAACAGATGCCTGATTTCAAACCAGCTTTTGTTTTTTAATGTTAATATTCCCAACCATCCTATTATCCCATGCAATGAATATAAATCACAGTTCCTTTCTGTAACTGTCCTTTATAATACTGTACTCAGTTTCTGTCTGGAATTATATTTGGCAGTCATTTTTTGAAATTTTTTTTGCAAAATTCAAACAATGGAAAATAAAGAGATTTAGGATATAAAGCCATTAAAGGCCTAAAGGTCATTAACTGCACTGAAACATGAACATATTTATCAGATCTATTTAGATTAATAAAACTAAACTTACAAAATGCCATCTAGACTTCAAAAAATGCTGAGCTTGATTTCTGTGTGGAGCAGCTTTATCACACTACAAAACGCTTACTTGGTGATAGCACTGTGATTATCAAATGCTGGTGAGCAAAGCAACCCTTATAAAAGAAGTCCACTTTACATACTATGAAGGTCATTACAGAAAACTCCAGGTGCAGAAAAGCAGCACAGAGATGCCATCTAGCAGTAACTCTTAGAAATTTCCGAGTATCCTATGGATACTTCCTTCTTTCAAGATACTGCACTTATGAGTAGGAGAAAGGAAGATTTTTCTATCCAAATCCTTTCACTGTAGCTGACTTTCTGCTGAATGTCTAGCCACCCTGCTGGAAATAAATCTTTAATGAAATATATTATCATTGATAATTTAAAAAAATTTCCTATGTAAATACAGAGAAAGAATAGAATAAAGTCAACAAACATAATGGTTAATAAGTACCTTAAACTGAAATTCAGTAATTAGCACTGTGTTAAAATTTATCATTAGTGAGCTGCCTTCCAGTTGTTAAAGAAGAATTTCTAAAGGTGATCAATATTTTATATCAAGTTTAAAAGAAAGAATTCAAGAGCATGGACAATAAATTACAATGGTCGAAATAAAATCTTAATGTTTCAGAGACTGGGAAATAAACAATCTATAAATTTTTGTTACATATTTTACCATAAGATGGCGATACTTAAACACTTTACTATCAGTAAATAACTGAGTAAGTTCAGCACAACATCACTGTCATAACAAGAGTGCCTGGAGACAGCAGTCTTAACTCAGTGATAGCCTGCTACTAAATTAAAGATTTTTTTTTTTACTCCCCAAGGCATTATTTTAAAATAGTTCATCAATAAAACCTGAAAATTATGTGGGACATGACTAGAAATGTATTGTGCATACCAGAAATATCTGTTGTGATTCATCTCTGCATAAGATAAGCAGTTTGTGAGTGTCAAGGGCATGTAGAAAGTTGTCTTTCTAGGCATGAGCATCCTGCCCAATTCTTTCTGGAAAAGAAAGAATTTACCATACCCTTGTTTCTTACAAATCATAGATTTGCTTCCCAAACTGCAGGGCAGAAAATTATTATTTTACTTCAATTTAGCATAAAGCAAGAGAAATAATTGAGCACTAGTTCCATTTCTGAAGTGTGCTCAGTCAGAGCTTGTACTTTTCTGCTAGAAAAATGTTGTTAAAATTTTACATACATAATTTTCCATAGAAGTATGAAATATATTGTTAATAGTCAACAAAATTGTTTGCTATGTGACACCTTCTTATGTTTAATGTGGTGTAGATCTACTTGATCTCAGTTTTTTTATTTTATGAAAACCCAATTAGCTCTGATAAAAAACCAGACTTCCAATTTTTATGTAATCTTAAGGACTTTTGAGCTTTTTTATTCCTGACCCTTGACAAAGTCAAAAGAGCCTGGAAAGAACATCTGAATATCTCTGAAAATGTCACACAGAGTGATGAATAAAAGGCCATTTTCATGCCCTTTGCACAGCATGGCACAGCAAAAAGGGCTGGAAGCACAGTTTCCAAAGTTCATTTGTGCCATTTCATTCCAGTGCCTCATCCTGTTTTTCAGTGCTGGATGGTGACAGAGACAGAAAATGGAACATTTTTTCCCAGTGTTATTTTGGGGTCTGAACTAAAAAGAATTTCTCTGCCAGATCTGTTCACTTCATTAGTGGTTTTACTCTTCTGTGGACATAGAAGGATATAAATTTGCTTTTCCTACTTTAATGCAGTCTCTTTAGTAGATCTTGCTTAAATGCAACAGAAAACAGAAAAATAAAAATGGGTGTGTGGAAACCTGTAGTTATGATGAGACCATGTGCTGCTGTTCATACAGATGTGAAACTCCTGTGTGTGCAGTGCCTGATGAGTCTCCTTACAGGCAATACCTGACTTCCAAACAGCTTTTATTTAATAGAGCCGATAGAACTAATTTCTTAGTTAATGTTAGTAATCCTCTATCACCTCCTGCTTTTTTTAGTTGTCACTATATCTTACTGATTGAAAAGCAGTCAGAATACTGCAGCTGTAAATCAGATTTCCACTGAATTGCTTTTTAGGTTCTGTTTTTGTTTTCAAAGAGGAGCATCCCTTCCATATTGTTGGACATTCAGTACATATTTGTATATGTACAGATTAATATCTTTATTTCAAATGGAAAACCTGCCAGAAGAGCTGAGCATTGCCTCACACCATTGTCAGGTACCTAACTGGTACCATTAATATGACATTCACCACTATGCAATGTAAATCGTGGCAACATGGCACGGAGTGCTGCTGGTAATGGACTGCAATACTCTAGCAATGTTTCCTCTTGTCACATTTTCTCTTTCTCACGTTTTTATAATATCACAGTTACAAGACTGTATGCCGACAAACGAGACAAGTTCTACACGTATAAAATACAGCACTACGGACATCTGCAGACCTGGGGGCTTTCAGTCATTACTGCTTCTAAGTGGCAGAGTGCAATTCTGGTTTTCTAAACGACTTAATCTGAAATCTCCTTCACCAGCCAGGCTGCACGGCTAAAATCTATTGTTTACTTTTATCATTATTTCAATTTCAGCCGCGATCTCTTGGAGACTTGAACACGTTTGTAAATAACAGAACTGCAGCAGCCCGAAGCGTGGCTGTAGTACTAAATTCAGAGTCTTCACGTGACGCCTCCAGTTTCACTCTAAACAAATTTATTTCCAGTCGGAGGCTGCTGATCCCCGCTTCCAGCGCCTCGCTGCTTCCCCAGAACTGGTGCAGTCACCCAGCGCTATGAACGCCTCCCTGCCTGGAGCGGGATGGATCGCCGCTGGATTGCGCTGGACAGCGACCGGCCTTGGACAGCTACCGGGCACGGCAGCGCGGTCCGTGCCCCTGCGGCGGGCACAGCTCGGCTCCTGCGGGTACAGCTCGGCTCCTGCCGGCGAGGGCTGTGCCAGGGGCCAAGGGCGGCTGCGGCTGCGGGGGTACCCTGCCCTGCGCGCCCGGCCCTGGGCCCCGCTGCACGGCGTCCGCACCGCGCCCGGGCCGGGAACCGAGGCCGGGGCTCTCCTCTCCCTCCTGGCCGCTCGGACAGCCAAGGACACCCCCCGCCTCTCCCCGGAGCCACCCGGAGCATCGCCCGCTCCCGCGGACTCCGTGCGCGGGCAGGCTCCGCCGCTGCGAACTTGCCGCCCGGCCGGCTCCTACCTTGGAGGGATCGAGGCCGGCCAGCAAGGACAGCAGCAGGAGGTTGAGGATGCCGGCGGGCGCCCGCATCCTGATCCCGGGGCTGCCTCTCCGCGCCGCTCCGCTCGGTCATTCACTCCGCTCCCGCCGCAGCGACCGCGCCGGCAGCCGCGCTCTCTGCTCGCCCGCCGGAGCCCGAGTGGAGGCGGCAGCGGCAGCCGCCCCGGGGACGCTCATTCCGTGGGCAGCCTCGGCGCGGGGAGGGCGGGCGAGGACGGCGCTGCCCGAGCTGGCGGAGCGGCTCCGCGGCCCCGTCCCACCCCGCCCCTCCCCTCCCCCCGGCCAGCCCACCGCAAAACTTTGGGCCGGGAGACGGCGGAGCCGGCGCGGCTGGACGGGCGGGCGCGGGCGGCGGATGTGACATCAGCGCCGGCGGGAGGGCGCGCGGGCGGGGGGCGCGGGCGGTGCGGGGGCTCCGGGCAGCGGCCGCGCGTGAGGGGAGGCGTGGCCGGGCCGCTGGGGGGCGCGGTGCCCCCGTGAGGCGGGGCGGCCCCGCCGAGCCCCCCTGAGGGCGGCCCGGTGCCCCCGGGAGGGCTGCCCCGCCGAGCCCACTCCCGGTTATCCCCCCGCTAGTGGCCAGCGGAGGCCCGTGCCTCTGTGGAGCGCTGCTGTAGGCGGGGAGGAGCCGCTGTCCCGAAAGGAGCGCCTGGCACCATGGCAAGGGTGGGTTGATGTGGGGAGCTGCGGGAAGAGGCTTTTCCTCAGGGGAATCCCTTTCGCATCTCCGTCTAGAAAGTTAAATCAGGGCTTGACTGAGCTCTGGTGAAGGTAAAGCCAGCCATGCTTTCCAGCTGGGCAGCAAAGGACCGTCGTAGCTCCTTGGTTTGGTCTGTGAGCTGAGGTGGGCTGAAGCCTGTGCAGGTGCAGGCGGGTGGGTGGAGGTCATTTGCTGAGGGGAACCCTTGAAAGCCTGCCCGAGGGCAGTCAGGAGTTTCCTTTTCCCTACATCAGCCAGCATCTTTGCAGTCAAGACAGCGCTGTTCTGCCAGCCAGGGCTCTGGCTTGGCTGCTGTCGCCTGTGCAGGTCAGGTTCACAGTCAGTTTCTCAGGACACTTTCAAAGATCAGTTTCTCAGGACACTTTCAAAGGTCAGTTTCTAAGGACACTTTCAAAGATCAGTTTCACACTACAGGGATTTGGCTTCCTCGGCCGTGTGCTGAGCATAGCCCACGTGTAAAATACAAGTACTATCCTGTTAACATGGGTGAAGCATCCTAATGGTTCAAGTATTTTCCCTTAGAAGACTCAAGCTCAAGACCTGTGGTCAGGATAATCTTATTTATGACACAGTTAAGATTATTATGAATGTATTTTTCAGCTTTGTGTGGTAAACATCTACTGTAGCTTTTCAGTTGGAAATTTTTTAGTCTTAACTAGATTGTCTGGGGGGTTCACTGTGCGCTTTTTAAGCATCCTGTACAGAAAGGCCAACACTTGTGCCTTTTTTTTTTTAGGTGCTATATAATCTTAACTAAGGGAAAAGTGGGCTAAAAATATCCTTAAAGAAGCAAAACTTGAGTGTTAAAATACCAAAATCCAGACGAAACAAACCCCCAAATTTGGGAGGGTGTTAGGATAAGAGTGAACAGAACATGATTTTCTAACTGTCTCCAAGTCTACAAGATTGGTGTCGTTTGCCTTGAGCAGCTCAGACCACTGCTAAAAGACAAACAGAGCTTTGTGCTTACAGGCTATCTGAAAAGATTGCACATCCTTGGCATAATGTTTCCAGATCAAAAATGCTGACTTTTCCTGTAATTCCCAGGGTTTTATTAGATTTTTGAATTGCTTCTAGGATTACAATAACTAGATTTTGTTTTTTGAGTGAATTAAAATGTATATTTTTTGCTAAGATGTCTTAGACACCCCCTTTTCATCAGCAGTATCTTTTACAGAGATACAGTCTTTAATTTCCTTGGAAGGTAGGTCTGCAAATTATGTTTCCTTATGGCATGGAAAGGAAATTATGAATGAGCTTTCATTGACATTCCAGGGTCAACAGTGGAAAGAGATTCCCCTGTGATACAGCTGCCTTTGAATTATCTTCTACAAGGAAAATATAAAAGATACAAAAAGGAGATGAGTTTTTTTTTTAACCCTCCTGTAGAAAGTATGTAAGAGCCCTGTTTTCTATTAAATGGCACTAAAAACATGTAAAAGGGGACAGCCACATGTATTTGTATGAATTTAATATAAAGTAATGGTACCAATGTACTGAAAACCTCAGGTTGTCCAAAGGACAAAGTGAATGGTGCTTTCAGCAGAAACAATTTCATATGAAAAAAAGATTCAAAGCCACAAAGGCAAGACTGAAGGTGTTTAAATATTTTCTAGAGCACCGCAGTGACTAGTTCTCTAATTTTTCCTAGCTTTACGTTTTACTAGCTTTTCTCCTTTTTTTCTCAGTTTATCACAGATAAAGTTGGCAAAGCCTATGAACTATTAAACTAATCATAGAATGCAAAGTTTTTAAGGAGCTTCAGTGATACAGTATGTTTTTCCACTTCCTGATGCTGCTTGGAACATCTGTCTTTGAAATCAGTAAAATATTGAAGAGTTAAGTTGAGAAATAAAACCGGTAGTTCTCCTAAAAACACAAGCTTTCAGAACTCCTGAACTTCTTGGATGCTTTTATGTGTTACAAACTAATAATTTATTTGATATATGAAAAGATACCAAAATATGTTTCAAAAGGATAGCATAAAATGACCCAATTCTTTTTTGATTTTTATAATCCATTCAGAAGAAAATGAAAATATGTAATAGATTTGTTCTTCTACCCTCTAGCAATCTGACAAGTATTTTTTTTTTGACAGAAAAGACTGTCTGAATACTGGTGAGAATCATTAGCAATTAGTACCTGAAATAATTCTGTTTGTTAAAGTTTATCTGAAAATTAAACAAAATTCAAGTTCTCATGAGTAGTTTTTATTTCTGCCATATGCCCTGAAGTGGCAAGGGAATACCTGATTGTGAAGATCTCTCTCTAGCAAACTTTTAATCATCCTTAAAAACCTATGAAATTCTATGTGAATGACATTTCTTCTTGAGGTCTTTGTTTGGAGACTGACTGCTGCAGTCAGTGTGAAATACATGATTGTGAGAGAGAAGAAAAGAGACACCAAAAGCTTTCCTGCAGGCATCAAGGGCCAGAGTGTTGGCAGAGTGGGGGCACGCTGTGAGTGCAGCTTGTCTGGCTGGGGAGGGATGTGAGGTTACAGCAGCTTTCCTTCACAGCACATTGCAAGATCTATTGCTGGCAGCTGAGGAAGGCACAGACTTGTTCACTCTGGTGCACGGAAAGCAAAGCTGATAAATTGGCTGTATGTACCAAATTACACATAAATAAGTTTGAAGTTCTGCAGTCTGAGTTTGGCAGCTGGAAAGTAGTGAGGGGTGTCACTGTCATGTTTTCTGGAAAAATCCCTTTGCCAGGATTTCTTCTCCTGGGAAGCTGGGAAGCACCAGAGAAAAATGAAAACAGTACTTACCTGATTGCTTCTCCCGTGTTTTGCTGCTTTGGAATGGGGTTGGAGATTGTTTATCTAACAGGTGTTTGTTTGATTGGTTTCATGTGAATTGTTTTTACTTGGTGACCAATCACCATCCGGCTGTGTCAGGACTCTGGAGAGTCACTGGTTTTTTATTAGTATCTTGTTAAATCTTCTGTAAGTATCCTTTCTCTATTCTTGAGTATAGTTTAGTATAGCATTCTTTAATATAATATAAGTACATAAAATAATAAATTAGCCTTCAAAGAACATGGAGTCAGATTCATTCCTTCCTGGCACAGGGGACCCCAGAAAATACCACAATGGGAGTTATGAAAAAGGATATGTCACATGTGCATCTGTGAAAAGGCAGTCTTTGTTTGTAGCAGGTGACATCTGAAAACTTTTGAATTGCAGTGCTAACAAATATTTTTTCCAAACAGGAAACCTCTTAATTAAATTGGTCTTATACCTAATATTTCATGGGTGTTGAATTTTCTGCTAGGTTAGGAAGGTGGTCTGGATTTTGAATTTTAGGCATTCTCCTGATTGTGAGAATGAAAAGTTTAGGGAATTGGAAAGAAGGGTTGAATACTGACCCTTGTTGATGTTAGCTGCTCTGAAATTTCCTTGAAGAGGATAAATTTGTTCTTCATTACAGGAAAAGATTTTGATATCTCAAGGAAGCTAAAGAGAGAGAAAAAGGTACAAACCAAACTAAGCTATCATTGGTACTGAAGCTAAGCTTTTTGACACAGTGTACTTGTTTACATTTGGAAAGAACATGACAGAAACAGAACACAAAGTTTTTAAAAATTAGATGATTATAAAAATCAGTAAAAAATTAGTTTAATTTAGCCAGTGAAGAGTATATAGAAGTTAAATAAAATATAATAGTGTTGCACATGTGGGACAAAATTCATGGTGGGACTATATTATTAAATTTGCTAATATTTGGGTAGGTTTTAGCATCAGATTGAAGCACAACTTATAATTATCAGTCATATTAGCAGAGTAATTTTTGGAATCTGTCAATACTACAACCTTGCTTTCTAATCCACATCTATATTAGTTTAAATATCAAAATGAAGCTTAGGAAGCATGTTTTGTTAGTCTAAGTGTCCTAGTGATGACTATTTTTCTAAACAGGGAATTTTTTTGAAATCCTACTATTCCCTGAAAAATGTATTTTGAGATTTAGTATGTTATCAGAATTAAAAGGTGACTAATAATTATTAAAAATAAATTTAGCAGTGGATGTTTTTCCTACTCCTTTTTAGAAGTGAGTCTTTCAAAAGAATTTTTGTTACTCAGTGTTGTTTTAGAAGCTTTTCTGTGAACATTGGATATCTCTGTCAGAGTGCACTGAAAGGAGTTAAAATCCACGTTTCTGCAGAAGAGCAGTGCTGTTATTTCCTGGTGAGCTGATGCCTTTGCTGGTGGTGAGATGTGCTGTGATGTGAGGGGCTGTGAGTCAGCATCAATGTTGCTGCCTCCCTCAACAAACATGAAATACCTGACAGATGGACAGAAACATTTGGGTACTGGGTGATGTGGACAGGTTTAACAGAGAACCAGTGAGTCAGGCAC